GCATCTAGCGGGCGGTTTTTCAGATGAGAAAAGATGACGTTAACAGACATTGAATATAAAACAAGTCAGTGATTAAAGCTAATGGTAGGCTTATCTCTTTCATAGATGAAAGATTTTCCCGAGTCTGTTGTAATCCTTTTCTGTAAAAGCATTTGGAAATCAACTGTTTTGCCAATGTTCCCATCTTCAGTATACAAATTTCAGAACATTTGTTCTTCCTATTTTCATTATATTAAGCCCTCTCATGGCTTTCATATGCAAATTCTAATTAATTAATGTCATATAGATTATCATAAATCTTCACCCAGTAGGAAAGCTAATGGTTTGCGTGCATGTATAGAAGTCTAGCGTTTTTCCCCAAGGTTTTAGACATGGGCAAAAATAAACCTCCAACGAGTCCTTGAACACACTTGATCTAGTTCAACTTTACATGATTTCAAGCACAGCATGGCTTTGAAGGAAAGATCTGTGTAAAGGAAGAGAATAAAAACGCAGTAGAGCAGCCACACTGAAGGACTCTGGAAAAAGCTTAATCACATATTTCCTGTAGCTATAAGTACACATAATGTTTATGCAGTGTTAACCTTTTTTGCTAAGTATGTATGAGTTTTTTCACTGCTGAGTCCCAATAAATGCTTGAGTTAGTTAAGCAAGTTTATTGTATAAGTTTATTTATACCTGACCTTAAGATCCTGTTCTTTTATTAGTCCACTGGATTACATGTAAAACACTGTATATATTTTATGGACATACAGAAATGTATAATAAGCAGGATGAGGCGTTGCTACATCCGTGGCAATAGTCTAAAGCAGTCACACTCGTGCCTTCCCTCTCTCTTTAGGCTGCGGGGTTTGCCAGTGCTGAGCAAACTTCTGAAAGTCTGCTGTGCTGTGGTGGCCTCCTCTTCTTTGGCTGTCTCTCGGCTGGGCTGAAGGGTGTTTCTCTGTTTACCGGCAGGGCCCAAATTAATTTGCATGAATGGAGGACTTGGCTTCTTAAGTCTGGCAGAAGAGCTGGATGTCTTAAAAAGAAATATCTTGGCTGTGTTCTTCATGATCACAGGATTACAAAGGCACTGATAGGCTTCAGTCTAGGTTTTTCTTCTTTACCCTCATCATTTTCTGTTCTTTTTCTTTCCACTTTTTTCTCCCTTTATTCTTTATGTTTCAAACTTCCCTGTATGGTGTCTGCTGTTTTTCTTGTCTTGAGGGACCAGGAGGTACTTCAGTGGTCAGTTCTACCACGGAACAGATGTGTAGATACTTTTAAGAGAGAGTTTACTTTTGTGAAGAAGCTTAAATGCTGCAATTCTAGAAACGCTGGTAATGGTTTTGATTTGAACCTGAGTGCGGACATGGGTTTGCTCTTTTGCCAATTGGCTAGATGAATCGGCCTGACACAAATGTGGACTAAAGACTATTAACACTATACCAAATTTTTTTCCCTTATGAAGTGGGAGAGAGCATGGAACAGGCACCTGGAAGTACTTCACCCTTCTATGCTTCTAGTTTTCTCTTTGTACATTAGACATAATAATACTTAACTTTTCTTTGGAGATACCTATGAGATCCTTCAACCCTAATGTGGAAAAGCAAACTTAACAACAATAAACGATCTCTGTTCCACATGCTCGCTTTAGGATTAGCTCAGTGTTACTGAGGTAGACCTAGAAGCTACTGTTTAACCTTACTAGTTGTCTAACTCATGACTGAATATAACTAGATGGGAGTTCTTTTATTTCAGTGAAGTACTTAAATTAACTTTCACTGGGTGAAAGTTGGCGTAATTGGGATCAGCATAAATTTTTCACTGCGCAAGAAAAAACAGAGCCAGGATTTCACCTAATAACTTTCACTTCAACAGAAATACGCAAATTGAGATCTGTGTATTGAGAGTATTATGAATGAAGCACACAAGAGCAGCCTGATTATACTGTTTGACACTCCCAGACTTAATCTATGATTTCATCTTGACAGTAGGGGAAAGCAAGCCTTTGATGCTTTGAGATTCAAATTATTTCCTTGGAATCATCTAGGAGAGCTCTCTTCCTGGAAGGAAAGTATACTAGAAGGACTGTTGATCTGTTTCAGCCTACCAAATGCTCTGTTGCAGCAGTAATTACCTTGTGTACCTTCATAAAATTGTTTTTTATTTTGCTACCAGTCCTCAGGCTCTTAGTGAGACTGAAGTGAGGAACTCTGGAAGTTACTTTTGGTCCATTTATAACTAATTCCATTGCCATTACAGATCCTAACAGTCATGTAAGAGCCATCAAGACATTTTTCATGTCGTTTTGCAGATTATTATATGTTTACCATCTGACTGTACGAGATATTCTATACCAAGGCATAAGTTACAAAGGCACACAGGCAGAAAAGGGATGGCTGGATACATGTGCCGGACCTGGCAGAATTATAAAGGAAAGGGAAAAATTGTGCAGAGAAACTACGAAGTGATTAGACTGCAGCATAGTGCTTCCCAGCTGCTGATCCCAGAAAGTCCTCTGGTGTTTCCTTAGTACTTTGCAATACTGAGCCTCACTTCCAGTGATTTTTGTCAGCATACAGTATGGGAGACTAAGGTAACAAAATAATCTGAAAATGGATTTGAATCAAGCTTTTATTATGAAACAATACATTAAATACTCATCAGGCAATTAAACATAGATTAGCATTGCATAAATGTGTTCATACAATATTGTTATTTAACCTACAAAACTGTGACTAAGGATTCCTCCAAAGTCCAGAAAGCTGCCTTTGGCTTCATGTTTATATTCTCCAATTTTCTGTGGACCCCGTGTGAGGGGGATCTTTGCTTTGCTGTGTTGTGGGATTTTATGCTTTCTGGACTCTCAAATTGCAACAGAATTTGCACTGGAAAAATGAATGTCAGCAGTTCAGCAGAGGCAGGAGGCGACCTGAATTCTTTTGCTGGTCACTTGGTGTATCACGATGCCAAAGCAGCATCTGCGTGTTCAGCTCCAGCCCCAGACCTGCTGCCAGCTGCCCCCCACACGCTCCCAGCCCGGCTGTCACTGCCCGCTCGTCCCGAGTGTCTCGGGAGCCCTGAGCGTGATGTCCTGCCCCTTGCCCAGGGCACAGCCCGTCCCTGTCTTTGTTCGGCCTGACCTGGGGCAGCCCCCAGCCCCAGATGGGGGGGAGCCAGGGGAGCTCAGCAGCCTCATGGGTGAGATGCTTTCCCTGGCGGAGCAGCCCCAAGCTCCCCAGACCCGGGTGGGCTCCCCCGACCCCACAGCACCTCCCTCCCCTGCAAGGACAGACGCGATGGACCCAGCCCAAAAATGTTTATCTTAAGTACAGAGCCAGCAGGGCCAGTCCGGGCATCCACCTGCTCCACGGGGTCCGAGGACGCAGTTCTCCCACCTTGCACTGGAGAGGGCTGGGGGCTCCAGGCAGCAGCTCCATGGATCGGGGCCGCATCCGACACACGCAGCACCTGCAGGGGAGACTGTCACCGCCGCGCTGGCTGGTGCTGGGGCAGAGGAGCCGGGGTGCCCCCACCCTGCACCGGCAGGCAGAGGACTCCGCTCCGGCTGCTTGGAGCACCACGAGGGCGCCAGTCCCAGCACAAACCGCGCCCAGAGTCCCGTGGGGAGCAGCCCCAGCGCCCACCGTGCCCCAGGGCGGCCCCGGTACTCACCGCGACGTGGAGCCGTGCGGGCGGAAAGAGCCGGGCAGCAGCGTGCCGGGGCCGGGCTCAGCGATGCCGTCGGCGTGGGGCGAGTGGCGGCGGCC